CCGGAATTGAAATTATAGCCCGAAATAAAGTGAGGTTTTGAAGTTCCATGGAATGAATTGAGCAATTCAAAATGATTTCTTCAAAATTATCACTGCCGTTTTATAAGCAGGGTCAGAGGTCCCTTTGATTTTAGGCCGGAGCTAGCTTAAAAGTCCGTACGGAGTGCGGTTCTTAAGGTAGTTATCTATAAAACTGAATGAGTTCATCGAAGTTGATTTTCTTGTTTTTGTTCCTTGATACGACAACCTTTCTTGCGATATGATCAATATTTTGTTTCATGTGTACAATCCATTAGAAAAAACAAACAAACAAGAAACTAAACTTTTTTTCTTCAGAAAATGGCATCAAACAGAAAAATGAAAAATTAATCGGCTCGATTCATTTCCAGCAATGCGCGCCACACAAATAATTACATTCTGAAAGAGACCAATTCTTTTCTGGCGAACTACATACTTGAAGACAGCTGGAAACTGGATAGTGATTATAATAAAAGCAAGAAAAAAATTAAAACGTTCGAATAAAAATTTGAATTACCTTTTGTTTACAGTAATAAAGGAAGAATGTATTTACCATTTTTCTGCCATAACCCTAGTATCAAAATTGCAGCAATCACTTTCATTGTGGAATCGTACACTTAGAGACTCAAAGAAATGGAGGTATATCTAGGTACTGTGGATATTACTAGAAATAAAACTGTTTGCAAACATAATCTAAGAAAAGAAGACTTAATATTTGCTCTTAATAGTCATCTCTGGTTTCTGGCAATGAATGACTGGGGTTATGAGAACTATAAGATATAACTTCATCCCCACTCAGGATACACCACCTCATTCCATCCAAATCAATACCTGAAACGTATTAAACGGAAATTGCGAGAGTGCTGAGTAGATTCCACCACCCCGCCCATATATATGCGAGAGAGGCCCGACAGAAAACTTAACCCTATGTTAAAGAAAAGCAAATAAATAATTACGATGTTTATTGGTTGAGTACGAGTTTTTTCTTGGTTACACTTCAAAAGAGAATTGTCCTAATAGAGAAATTGTTTTAGAGGTCATCAATAAGATATTTATTACGAGGTCAGATCAAAAAGTATCGGGACTGTTGCTATAGTGATAAAACTAAAGTCAGCAGAATGACGCCGCTTAGCACAAATTGACCTTGAATTCTGACGCGCATACACACTAAATTATAGCGCTCCCGCTCCCTCCTGTTGTTTATGGCAGTGCTTGGAAGGAAAGTGTGTAGCGTGTGGTCGTCTCACCACACCACAGAGGCTCCATCCGTGTCCATGGCAGGTGCAGCTGTTTTTGGCCACGCACAATATTCCCCAGTTCCGAATATAGTAGTTTCGACAATCACCGAAGGAGATTAAATGCCGAATTAAAATGTGATCTAGTTTTTTGTTGTTGTTTTTTTTTATAGCATTAATTCCGTTGATTTTTTATCAGCACTCATACTTTACGAAATATATCTTACTCTTGATAGAACCTTAATTTATCTATGTGAAATGCACGCAAAATTGCAATGGTTCACTCCGAATGTAAGTGACAGGGACTGCGTGTGATGATGCATATGTGTTCATATAAGTGTGTTTATGTGAATGTTTCAACGAGTAACTTGGCGACCAATGCGAAGAGTTGGGTCGCCATTTAAAAGTAAAATATGACAGAAAAAAGGTTATCCTACTTTTAGTGTATTATGTGCACCTTTATTTAATACTTCTGACTGCGTCTGTGAGATTAACCCACCTTGTCTACCTATGAACTACGCTTAATGCAGTTAGATGGCCTTCTGTTCCTGATTAGAAAAGAAAGGGACCTAGACACTCTTTAACACCCACACAATTTTTTCTGCGAGATATAGTAGCAATAACAATGAAGCTCTTGCTATTTGAGCAGACACTTCCTCGGCAAACCGACTGCTTAATCTTATACAATCACGTGGTGCATTTATCCGAACTTGTTATTGTGTGTCAACCCCCATTCTTATTATGTGAACATTTTGCTACATTACTGTTGCTTTGCCTTGTTACTGTTAATTTGCTTTGGATATATTGTTTGCATTATATTATCCCCCCCCCGTTCTTTTCTTGACAATTCTGTTTGTTGAACAGTTCTGTCATTTATTTTACATTTAACCATGACCACTCTACACAATGAATACTGGACAATCTTCTCACAGGTGACATGAAGCAACATAGATGTCGTTCTACCGACGTATGTTAAGAATATCATGGGCAAAAAAAAGTGTAGAAAGCGGAAATTTTAAGGAAAATAGAATCTACAAATAAACTGCTGCTAACAATCGGAGACAGGTGAAATATTTGGGAACCATGATGAAGATAGATAGCTTGGAGAATTTAACACTCACAGGGCACACTGAAGGTAAGAGAATTGAGGAAAACAGTGAGTTTGTACGAATGCATGGCAGGGCAAAAACAAAGAGAGATGATAAACAGTGATTTTATAGTAAGTGGTGGGGGACCATGATTATCTACATTATGAAAATCCATAGCACATTAAAAAGAAACAGAAGAGAAATAAGTTGGAATATAATTGCACAAGGATTGTCATAATCAGTAAAATACAATCAACAACATGCAGCAAGGCATCCCACATCGGTAAGGAAGACAATATATTATTTTATTTACTTTTGTCCACCGACTATACAAAGTCCAAGATTCACAAGGTTTTTTAAGCTAGTTATTAGGTTGGTGCATAATTATCAGGCGTTTTTTTAAACAATATTTATTATGAAAAAAGAAATATAATAATTCAACAATAGTATAGACATAACACTTCAACAATGACAGTTTTAAATGATTATTCCGAAGCGTACAATTATCAACACGCATTTATATAATCTGAAAATAAAATAATATTTTTTATTAAAAAAAAACAACAATTTTTATTAACAAATAACTCTTCTACAAAAACGCCTGATAATTATGCACCAAACCAATATAAAACTGAAAGAGTCCATCGGAGTTGATTTTCTTGTTTTTGTTCTGCTACGACGTCGTTTCTGCCAATATATTCAACATTTTATAAAAGAACAAGAGGGTAAACTATTTTCCCAGAAAATGGCATGAAAAAGAAAAATGACTGAGACTGCCGTCAGAGCGTAGGGGAGAAGGAACAGATGCATATTAGAAGGGTACAAAGTATAGATATTGGTTGATCCTGGACTTTAAAAGGTTAAGATTGTAGCGATCAGGGAGATACCCTCCCAGGAGTCTATTCCATAAAGTAACAGTCTTAGGGATGAAGATGTCTGAGTGGAACTTCTTACCAAAGATCTACGAAGGGAATGTGAATGGTTTGCTACTGTGCCCTTTGGCATGACTGAACTAAGGGATGTAGACGGTTTGCCATAGTAATAGCGATATAATAGCGAGAAGCTTGCCAATTTTCGTCTGTGGAAAAGTGGTTGTAGGGTAGAAAACTATTCATCACCCACAACGCTGAGTAATCTCTTTTGAACTCTATCAAGACTGGACAGTGAGGACTGGCAGCGCCAACACAGATAGAACAGCAATACTCCATTATTAGTTTGATCTAATTCTTGTAAAGATAGACCATAGCAGTAGGAGCGACATCAAGCCAACTTTTGTTGATAGACTTGCGTGGCTATAACACCAGATCTACATGCAAGTTGGTATATACAATTCTTTATACGTACACAGAGAAAGAAAAGCATTAATGAGCACAGATGTTAGCTGAAACCACTGTCGGAAAACTTTTCACAAACTGGGGACAAGCAAATGATTTCGTTACCTATTGTCAATGGACGCAAAGTATTAAAAAACAAAAATTTAAAGTGACCATAAATGTTAGTTTTCCCGAAAGGCATCAAAGCAGACGTAAATAAATTAGAAATCTTTTAAAATTATTTATAACAGTACTTTAAAACAAAATGCGAATATACGACATAAAATCAATAAATGTACATGTTTATTCTGATAACAAAATGGCGGAAATGTTTCTCGATAAAGCGTGATATTCATAATTATAAAACTGCTCAAAGTCATTTTAACACCACTCCCCACAAAAAAGAAGGAATCATATTTGAAAATTGAAAAATGCAAAGACAAGAGAGAAAGTCAAGACATTATTTAAAATCACCTTTTGCTTAGCTTATGAGATAATACTAACACTGGCACAAGGATACGTATGTCGAGCACTCGGTAAGGGTCCTACTCACACTCTCTGGTCTGATCCGGGTTAAACGACCGAAAAGAAACGTGTATTACTTTCGATTCAAATTTACATTTCATCTTTATTGTTGATTTTTTTCTCAACTTTTATCTTGACCGATCTACCGCAGTTTATACGCACTATTATCTGTCCTTGACAATGATTCATCTAGTAAATATAAAATATATACTCGAGTTAATAATATATTTACTCACTCCATCGATCTATGGCAATCCAAAGAAGAATCTGCAATGTTATCGGTCCTATCCTAGCATCTCACCTTCAATCACTTTCCCATCGCCGTAACATATCTTTCTTGTGCCTTTTATATAAATAGTTTTACGTTAATTGTTCTGATGAGTGGCACTTCGGTCTTGTACTTCGGTACAATTGAAATTGCTACATGTAACCGTAAGTTCTACTATGACAGTTTCTTCTATTGCACTTCTCGCTTGTGAAACTCTCTTCTGGCAACATGCTTTTTTGTCATTTACGATCTTCAAAAATTTAAATGCAACGTCAATCGTCATTATCGGTCTCCTTGAATCTTTTTACTGTCCTCGCTTTATTTACCTTTCAGTAATCACTTGTGTTTTAGTGGCTTTATTGCCTTTCTTGTGGTGAAACGATTAAAAAATGTTCATGTTAATCTTTATTATTCCTGGCAGATATTCATCAAATATAATAAGATAAATAATCCTGTCAATAATATATTTACTCAAGCCATCGATCTACGGCTGTTGTTAAACACACTATCATTTTTGGTTTATGTATTTTAAAAAATCAGGCTTACAGCCACAGGTTGAAACACCGGTTCCCGCACGATTACTGAAGTTAAGCAACGTTGAGCTTGGTTAGTGCATACCTAAATGATTGACCGCTTGGGAATATCAAGTGCTGTAAGTTTAGATGTGTGGGTGGTGTCATGGATAATGGCTCTGAATTGTTAATCGGAGAGCCGAGTTCCAATTACAGTTGGGTTCGTAGTATTCACTTATGCACAAGTACTATTTGGAAATGTATGCATCCACCTCTTCTCCCCCAGCTATGTGTTAATTAGTAAAACTTATATCAATAAACCATTAATATCTACAAAAATTTCTTACAATCTAATGATATTTTCTCGCTTTAAATAACCTGCAAAGGGTTGATAAGTCGTAGAAAACGAATAAATCTCATAAAAAAATAAGATAAAAGATAATATTCCTGCCCTTCAGATCGTAAAAGCAAAAAAACAAAAGGAAAATATGGCATCAAAAATGTCACTAAATGGCTTGGATTTATAGGTTTGTTTTTCTACAAAATTGTTCAATAACCGTGGATTAGCGGTTAATCCAGTGGATGCAATCACAAAGAGGTTTGAAGATGAAATTCCAATTTCGTCGTAAGTTATATCTTTTCCTTCCGATCAACGTCATCTCCTCACTGCGGTAGATCGATTTCCTTTATAAAGTTAGAAAAAAAAAACAATTCAAATCTGAAAATGAAAGAGACATCATCTTCTGTACGTGACGTATCCCTTCAGGACATGGACGATCATGGCCCTCCACAGTTTCCAATCCTTCCCCCTCTTGTTCTGCGACCTATTTATGCAAGCTCGTTTGGTAAGTTACTCGCTCAGAAAATGAATTCAGTTCATATACAAAAATAAAAAGGAGCGTAAGACAAGGAAGAGCCTTCTCTCCAGACTTATTCAACATTTACGCTGAAGCAATCCTAAGAGAATTAGAAGTTCTACCAGGATTCTTTGTTGGCGGCCACTATCTTAATAACATTAGATATACAGACGACAATGTTAATAGCAGACAATGAAAGGAAATTACAAGAACTCCTACAGAAGGTAATTGAAGAAAAGACTAAACATCATTTCTAAGAAGATTTTACATAGAATGTATGGTTTTCTAATCCAATATGTCAATTACAAATTGTAGATAGGAAAATCAAGCAAGTACAAATATTTAAATATCTAGGAAATGTTTTAACAGGAGACAGAAAATGCGACACCGAAATCCGTGGGTGTATTGGGATAGCGAAAGATGGTTTCTAAAAGCTAAGCAAAGTATTAAGAAATATGAAAATTTCGTTAGAAACAAAAAATATCATTTCTCTGATATGACAGTGAATGCTTGTTGTAACCTAGAAAAGGTCACTGAATGAGGAATAACAAAAACTGAGGTTGGAAAAGAAATGGTAATCTTTATAACATCAACAAAATACAATACTCACCAGTGGTGTGAAGTAGGTAAACCACTGCTAGTGGTGGACTACTTAGACAGCATATTACCCCCACTTACAATAGTGTCCAACGTATTTATGAGGATTGGAACATACCCATTAGTGTTCATAGGTACAGTATATAACAATGCTGGTCAATCACCTAACAGATGGAGAAGAAACTTGAGGCAACAGAAATATGGATCTACAGAAGGATACTGAGAATACCATGGACTGAATATGTGAGCAACAACAGAGTTTTAGAGAAAATCGAAACAAAAGGACACTTATAATTAACATCAGAAAGAGAAATTTCTAGGGCATATAATGAGGAAAGAGGACTTGGAAAATTTAACACTCACCGAATATATTGAAGGCAATACTCAATAATATCAACTACAAATACGGCTACAATGTGTTGGCGATGTTTGGAAAATAAAACATTCCTATAAATCTAGATGCATACGTAAAACAATCCATACAGTTAAAAATAAAACCATCTTTGATAATAAGTAAAAGAATAGCCGAAAGCGCTCGAACATACAGAACATTTGGACAATTTCTACATAATTTATGTCCATAAAAAGAAAATTTATAAAAACACAAGAAAAATTAAATAGAAACTTTGTCAGTCGTTTTAATGAAACTTGTATAAAAGACGGATTGATTCCCAAATTCATTATATATATATATATATATATATATATATATATATAAACAGTAAAATCTAAAATCATCATATATGGAGAACAAGCTTATTTCGTCTTATCAACCCCGTTAGTCCATACCGGGGTTGGTAAGACAGTCGAGCAATATTTTCGTCTGCCGAAATAAGCTTATTCTCCATATGAGGTGACTTTAGATTTTATTGCTCATTATTTATTTGCTCTGTAGTAATAAATATATTGAGCTCTTTTTGCGGATCAGTTTTGATATTTTATATCACTAGGATCGACTTAGATTATATACCAACGGATTTGTTTCCTTTTACTATATATGTACACACAAATCTCTCGATCAGTGTATTTTCGATTAGTACGCTAAAATCTTTATAAACCAAAATTCTATTAGTGCATGCATAATACTCGATTAGTGTGGTAAAAGATTCTTTCTTTTAACCATAAGAATTGAGAATTGATTTTTTTTATAATTATCGATTAATTAAAAATTTTCGAAAATTCAAAAATCTGTTCAGGTAGCATCCCCTTATGAAGTGTTCCAATCTGTGGTATAAATGCACACAGATGTTGACGCAGTGTTCAGGGACCACGCCTTTCAGTAGATGCCAAAATCATCAGCAATTATCATTCCAAGCTGATTACGAGGTCTGCAGTAGATACACACAGAAGTGGTCGTTCTTCAACAACCAAATTGTGCAAAAGGTAAAATTTTAACATTATACTGTACGCGGATGCACGGTGGAGTAATGGATAGCGGCTCGGATTGATGAATCGGAGAGCCGAGTTCGAATTCCAGTCGAATCCGTTTACATATATCGGTAGAAGTCATGAATCCTCTTCATCCCCCCCCCGCTATGGCAATTGGTCTACCGCAGAAAGAGAATGGCAACCACCTGCCTCGTCAGTCATCTATCGAAAGCTACATAATCGCCTGTACATCTACTAATATACCGTTCAAAATAAATGTTTATGAAAATCGACCAATAATAAATAAACCTTGTAACATTTTTACATTTCCACCTACCCAATATTTTTTTTTAGTCAATTTACTGCAGACAAGGGGATAATGCCACTAATACGCTACTGGGAGTGAAAGAGAATGAAAAAACTTTAGAAGGAACCGGAAGTCCAGTCCTAAACAGGAAACAAGGGATAAGCTTCTACTCCTGTTTAAAAGACCGGGGAGGAGTGTGAACTGAAAGATAAGCGAGCCTATCTACTCATTAAACGCGCATTAAATACATTTATCACCCTGGGTATGACGATAAACTACATCCGGCAGCAAAGGTTTTGAGGGACTTGGAACCACCTCTCTTAATTGCTGGTGTTCCAAGAAGATCAACCCTGAAACCGGATGGTAGCACCTGTTACGGTCCCTACTATGAGCAAATCGTGAAACCCCCGCCAAACTGTGATCAAAACATTATGAAAGTATAAAAATACAGTTTTTGTAGTAATACCAGCAATACATTTTCATAGTAAAAACACAAAAAAAAACATTACCAGCAATACATTTTCATAGTAAAAAAAACAAAAAAAAAACATTACCAGCAATACATTTTCATAGTAAAAAAAACAAAAAAAAAACATTACCAGCAATACATTTTCATAGTAAAAAAAAAACAAAAAAGTATTGCCAGCAATACATTTTCATAGTAAAAAAAAAAAAAAACATTACCAGCAATACATTTTCATAGTAAAAAAAACAAAAAAACAAAAACATTGCCAGCAATACATTTTCATAGTAAAAAAAAAAAAAGCATTGCCAGCAATACATTTTCATAGTAAAAAAAACAAAAAAACAAAAACATTGCCAGCAATACATTTTCATAGTAAAAAAAAAAAAAAAAAGCATTGCCAGCAATACATTTTCATAGTAAAAATAAAAAACAAACATTACCAGCAATACATTATTTGAAAAGGAAGAAAAAAAATTGCTAGCAACAACACATTTTTGAAAAAAAAAAAAAAAAAAAAATTACCAAAGTTCTCAAGAAAATTAAATTTCGGTATTAAATGACCCATAAGAAGTTGATATGCCGTTAAATAGATTGAACCCAAAATTATTATTGGAGCTGGAGTTTTGCGTTTCCACACGTTTGATTAAAAATGAAGAAAAATTTTCTTCGGGGATATTTTTGCCTCTTTTTCTGTATTTCGTACCATTTTCCTCCAATTTTCTGTGAGAATTTAAATATAAATTGTCCAATATCTGTTTACTTTCGACTTGTCATTTATCCAATAATAGTTCAACTAACAAACAAAAACACAATATTACCGACATATCCCTGCCAACAACACGAAATACTATATCACAAAAATTGTTAAAAATGACTACATATACTAGAAACCTTCCAAAATCGAAATCCAATAAGACTGCAAGTTTCAGCATCAACATACCAAATGTATTTCATAAGTAACATTTTATTTTCAGTTAAAAGTAGAAAGAAAAAAAAAACGACACGAACTGAAACGTGATACTTTAAAAATCCACATGACGAATGAAGAAACAATAGTTGGAATAAAAAGGAAAATCACAGAAGTAGACTGACAGAAAATGACTCAAGTTGCCACCCCACCCCCCCAAAAAGATTATTTATTTATTTATTTTACTAAGAAAGTAAGGATAGGATAGGTATATTTTCAGAAGTAGTCTCTGTTGTAAACTACGTCAATGGTGTATTTAAGTTGTGGAAACACCTAAACCAGCGTTTTAAAATTTTTCTTTTTTTTTTTTTTGACTGCGACTCACAGGAAGAACCCCATTTTGCATAACGATCCATTATACTTACGTGTAATAAATCAAAAAACAAACTCTGCTCACTAGGTTCATTTATTTAGCATCGACAATTTATAGGTATATTTCTTGTGATCTGCACATATTGGAATTGTATGTATCTATTTGTATGAATGTAAAATTATTAGTTCTTGAAAAAACAAGTTTCAAGGAAATTCCGACACAAAGGTAAAGTAAAAAAATAATTAAAAAAAAAATGTCATTTAATGAGA